AAGCTATGTGTTCCTTGGATGCTACTTCGGGCTTGGCTTCGGTATGTGTATGTCAGGCTGCGTTCATACTTTGCGGCAGCGTCCACCAGCGTCCACTAGCGTCCACAGCGACCACTAGCGTTCCGAGCGTCCGGCAGCGTCAGCGACTAGGAAAGTATAGATATCGATCTAGCGTCTGCCAGCGTCTGCCAGCGTCCACCAGCGTTCACCAGACCGGGAGTAGAGAGTATGGGGAAGTAGGAGGGTAGCAAACAGCTGGATTAGGCGTCGTGAAATTGCGGCGTGTGCAACCGCACCGTACAACTACACTACACCGTACATTAAATTGCATAATTCTGTGCTTTAGCAGTTGTGCGGTGCGGTTGCACACGCCGCAATTTCACGACGCCTAATCCAGCTGTTTGCTACCCTCCTACTTCCCCATACTCTCTACTCCCGGTCGCTGGTGAACGCTGGTGGACGCTGGTAGACGCTGGCAGACGCTAGATCGATATCTATACTTTCCTAGTCGCTGACGCTGCCGGACGCTCGGAATGCTAGCGGTCGCTGGTGGTTGCTGCCGCAAAGTAAGAACGCAGCCTCAGAAGTTGCGAGAGGGTCAACGTACTCCAAATGACTGGTTCAGCACCCCTGGAGAGTTTGATGCTGCTTTTCTGCATGAAATGCCTATATCCGACAAAGGTTTACCTACTCAAAGGTCATCTCGAGGAGCCGGCATCGATAAAGGTGAAAGCGCAGACGACAGATATAGTGTAGTTCGCTGCGGACGGTTGGGCGTGTCAGTGCGGCTGCGTTTGGCGCGGTGCCAAACTCGTTCTCCACCAGTTGTTGAAGCGGGCAAGTGACAATACTGTATCATATCCTTCGTATTACTCGTTTTCTACCACTTTTTGTCGCATGCGCGTTTCAACAAGAAGGCAGAGAACGGCTTTGACGGGGTGACACACTCATACTGGCTGACACGCCCAACCGTCCGCAGCGAACTCGAGTGTAGACACACGCTTACGGTGAACGCAGATTTTCAGAGTTTGGGACTGGACGAGTGGTTAGTACGGAGAAAAATTCCATCCGATCAAGTGCTAAAGGTTTCCGACACCCTAATATAGTTTCTACTAGATGTACAAATGTCTGGAAGATTTACAGCGTACGGTAGCTTCTATGCCAATAGCTGCAATGATCGGTCCAAAAATCCTTTGTATCCCTGGCGGACCGGGTCCGGTCATGCGAGAACATGGTCTTGCTGCGCTAAAGTCATGTTCAAGAATTACAATGAATCGGCTGGACAGATCGCTATGCATGGTGAGTTGCGGGATCGTTGCACGCGTTTGCGGCAGCGTCCACCAGCGTCTACCAGCGTCCACCAGCGACCACTAGCGTTCTGAGCGTCCGGCAGCGTCAGCGACTAGGAAAACTGTGGATAGCGATCTCACGTCTGCCAGCGTCCACCAGCGTCTCGAGAGCTGAGAAAGTAGAGGTGTCGATTTAGCGTCCGCCAGCGTCTACCGGCGCTCAGAGGCGACCGGGAGTAGAGGCTATGGGGAAGTAGGAGGGTAGCAAACAGCTGGATTAGGCGTCGTGAAATTGCGGCGTGTGCAACCGCACCGCACAACTGCTAAAGCACCTAAGTAATTTTGTGTACAGTGTAGTGTAGTTGTATAAAGCGGTTGCTTACGCCGCAATTTCACGACGCCTAACAGTTGTTTGCTACCCTCCTACTTCCCCATACTCTCTACTCCCGGTCGCTGGTGAATGCTAGTGGACGTGAAATTGCGTGGAGTGGACGCTGGTAGGCGCTGGTAGACGCTAGACCGACATCCTTTCCTAGTCGCTGACGCTGCCGGACGCCCGGAACGCTACTTGTTGCTGATGGACGCTGGTAGATACTGGTGGATGCTGCCGCAAAGTATGAACTCAGCCTCGCGTCGATGGGATAGCAGGGCACGACGATCTCCTTCCACTCCTTCCACTACAGAAGCGGTTTATCTGGCAAGCGTTGGCAAAGACTTGCTGTTGAGCGCAGGACACAGCCAAGGCAATCGTGATTCGTTGCGTAATCGTGCGCGACCAATCGTGGGCGATGCGTGGCAAATTCTCGAATGCATCAACCTACCGGTTGAGAAAGTAAGATTCATACCAATTCAAGCGAAGACAAGGCTCCATCAAGACACATCGTTGTTGGGGAATCCCCAATAGGGGGGGTCGTATTTGGCCGCCAGGAGAGGGGGGGGTCGTATTTGGGCTGGGAAAAATTTATTTTGATAGTTGATTTTTCTCGCTTCACGGACGTTGTAAAGGGGGAGGGGTCGTACCAACTCCCAAAAAAAGGGGGGGGGGTCGTACTGACTCGACTAAAATCCCCAACCAATGATGTGCCCTGGGCTCCATATTATAGTGCGGGAAAATGCAACAATCAGACTCCTCAAGCTTGATGAGACCTCCCTACAGCGACCAAATACGGGATAAATAATGCGCTGACCACTCGGGATAAATAATGTGCGATGTGCTGTGCGGTAGATCCCATCCCAATCAATATGTTATCGATTCGGGCAGAGTCTAACCAACATGGTAGTTTTATAGGAGGCCGCTTGGTCAGTTATGAAGCTAGAGGCCAATCCAGTGACCAGTGACGACGGAATACCGACATTCACCGAGTCGCAATGCTCAGCGTTTTGCAAAGCAAATGGATTAGTGGTGATCGTACGAGGGAGACAGTTGGTAGGTAGTATATTACCAATCGATAAGATCAATCCATATTTTCTCCATTTTGGCGTTCTCTCCGTGAACCGTATCTTCAGAGTGTCAGTGTTGCTATAAACTTACCTGCGGACAACATGAGGACGCCGCAGCAGAAGAGAAAGGGCAAACGCAGCGAGAGTTCATTGCCACCAACTGTTGTCGCCTTGGCTGCTTTTCAACATTTGGCGAAAAACGGGGGCTAGCGCCTGCTAAACCCAGTCTCACGACACTCCCCTGTTCACAGCGCACAAGACCGTTTACCTTCCAGCAGAGTTCCGTGTTTCAACATTCAACGATCTTACTGAATTATACTGATAACTCATTCACAGGTCGACGAAGGATTCCTCAATTACCCGAAGGAGGTTCTGACGATTGTCTCGGCTGTCGCCTATCTGGATAATTTCAGAAACTACGCAGCTGCTATGACCATCCAAGGGATGAATGTGAGTCCCTTGCTCATGAACTTGCTCAAACAACTGTTAACAAGGGCTGTTTAGGGTCAATGCCGAGCAAGCATTGAACATTGAGCTTTCTGAAGGTGGAGCAAATGAGAAGGTAAGAAAGCGGCTGAATGGAGGGAAAGCAAAACCATTTTCTGAGATAGCTAGAGCTGCTACAACATTACCAAGCTATGCAAAAACAGAGCCGTGTTCATCGAAGAGCGTAACAGTTTAGCCGGAAAAGGGAGACCGGCTTTGAATGCGAATTCGTTCGGTGGAGCGGGACCCACAACTTGAGGGCTTCTCTTTAATTCCTTCACCGGTGCTGTACCTCGTTTCACGTGCACTGCACACCTTCCCCCACCTTTCTCATCCTCCCCTCCCCTCGCTTAACGCCCTTTTTTGAAAAACTGGAGAATTGACAGACGAAAACTTACAAGTGGTTGGAAATTGGGAACATTCAGGAAGATGGCAGGTAGGATGGGGAAGGGTCAAATTAGAGGAGGTAATTTTGACTCGCAACTCCATTTTGTAAAAATTCCTGCCTCGCGGCAGGATATGCCTTAGATGGGGCGTAGGCGAGTACGAGGTGGTCGTATGGCGTATCGAACGGAATGGCGGACGGAATCATCAGGACCATCGAGCAGTCAGAAGCCACTAGCTTACTTGCCCCTACTCTCAAGCGGTGGTACACTTCTGTCAACATTCGTCTATTTTCTGCACTGGGAGTGGGATGGGCTGTGTGGTTTGGTCCGCAGTCTTCGCAGTCAGAGGATGATTCTCAGCGTCAGAGGGCTTAGGAGCAGGACCAGGGAAATTATTGCGGGAGACGGGCAAGAGGATCGTAATTTGCCGCTCCGCCGCGCGCGGCGATGGGAGCGGCGTTTTCTTAATTCGTGTTAGCCTGTCAACTGAAGCACCGGATTTCACGTGGGATACGAAACTGTGGGCATTCACAAGAATTTTCTGGTTTGCATTGCCTGTTGTCGCCATCTACGACCTGGAACCATCGTCATTTGCGGCGCGACGTCGCACGCGACGCCCATCAGCGCGGCGAACTTACGATTCTCTTGCCGCGTACCCAATTATTGCTAGGGCGAGTGGTGCTTGAGCAGCCGCGAAAGACCAGCATCATTTAAACATATCTATACAATTGAACCGATCACTTACAGGCATCCATCGTTCGCTACAAAATGGATGAAGGTGAGCCGAAATCACTGGACATCGTCAAACCAGGCATAGGACGAAATGCAACAGCCTTACCCATGTGAACTCAGCTTTACCGATGTGAACTATCTGAAAATTTCATAAACGTCACAATCATCACTAAATTTTGTAGAAAGTTCACAATAAAGTTTAAGAGTGAATGTTCTCCAAGCTGTCTCATGAGTAACCCATGATGATAATAGGACATTCGCAAGCAAAGAGGGAGGGAGACTCTATTACCTCAGCATAAAAAAATCGAGACCGGAAATTAGGTATGCGAACGTATTCTCAACAGCGCAAATACGAACCACTCCCCCACCCCGTCTGGGATTCTTAAACAACGTGCCCTGTACTGAAATTGCCTGAAATTTCGAGAAGCCGGTAAACCACCTAACAGTATCGGTCAGTAAAGATGACTTGGCTTACCTTGATCGCGGTGACGCGAGATGGACCACCCAGGCTGTACTGATGCAATAAGTGAGACCTGCCCCTCCGCCCTTCGACCTCAACCTCGACCTCACGTAGATCAAAATCCACAGAGGTCAGAGAAGGGCGCAAGCTCACGGGTAATGGCCACACACTCCTCTTTTCTGTTCATTTGGGGGGCGAGGCCTCAGACATCACAACCATGCCGAGATTAAGGGATAGTCGGTCCTGGTTGAAATGACAGTGTTAGTGCGACCCCGACCCGCCCAATATCTTCTTCCAGTATGACCTCCCATAATCTCTTTTCTAGTGAAATCCCGAAATTTCCTTTTCCCGTATGACCCCCCCCCCCCAGACCCCAGATTCGCGCTGCTAGTACAACCTTCGAAAATTCCTGTTCCAGTGAGAACCCTCAAAAAATATCTACCACCTTGCCGAATTTTTCCATTTCGCAATCCAGCTTTTTGAAAATTTGACCGCTTTTCTTAAAGAAGAGGAGTCAAGCGCGGGAGGTCCACTTCAATCAACTGATAGCAGTAAAGGTTATACAGTAGTTTTACGCGGTGCTGCCATGGAGGAGGGCATATCGCGCATAAAACGGGACATAAGGTATGCGTGGAAAATCAACTACAGGAGAAATTTCCTTCGCGTTTTGGAAATATTCCTCCCAAGGCAGCATGCGACTCCATCCCACTCCACGTACGTCTCGCCAATGGGATTCTTCCAAAGACGTTGTACCCTGATAGATACGGTTGCACAGACAAAACGTAGACAGCGGTTAGACTGTCTACTGCTATCAAAAAGCATCCTCTCCAAATTTTCCAGCCCCGAGCTGTTGAGATACAATAGTTGACTCGGTACAGTGCAGCACTTTCCCGTTGAAGACAAACTCTTTCGTAAGAAACGGAAACCAAGTTAACTCTTCGAGCCCACCCCCTTGAAACTGTAACTTATTCTACTCTATTTATTCCGTTCTATTCTGCGCAATTGTTGAATGTTCATTTAACAGTATAATAGTCTACACTGGTCTTCAGAACGTTCCTTTCCATGTACCAGATAAATGGGTGCGCAGCTGTATTAGCCGTACCACTTTCTCCAGGGTATAGCTAGCTACTCGACTGGTGCGTAGTTATACCCGAGTGCCGTCTCCCGCTCCGACCTCGCTATCGTCACTGTGCGGCGCTTGCCTCGACACCAAAATTGTGGTGACGGCATCCACTACACTACCCTTCAACCCTGTTCCTGTGCATGGCGCGCATCAGCGTTCATTCGCAGCCCGCTAAAACGGCCACTCTCAGAATTTCTGATCTAAATACTAGAAATCAGGTAAAGTCTTCGCCGTTGATCAATCCCTTTGTGGGATGCGGCACGCATTCTACTTCCATTCAGAATCGTAGTGGCTTATTGAATGCGATGTGGCCTATACAATGACTTGCGGGGCCAGCCGATGTACAAGTCAGTGTTTTATCCTCCCAGACGAATCTGGTACCAATTTACCGTCCCCGGAGGGTAGCGCCGATCTAAGATTTTATCTCTGGACCGTGCCCCTGGTAAGCGTGTCACTTGCCACTGCATCACCTTCGCCTCAGCATTACTAGAACTAAAACCCAACAAATTCAAACCAAAGAACCAAAAAAGGTCGCCTGGTACCACGCCAAAAATCGGGTTTGGGTCTGTAGGTCCAGGCGCGCTACGCATAGTTGCAGTGCTTCCCTCAGCAGAAATTCTACCGTCACGCACGTTTTCTGGGACATCGTGATACCTGAAAGGATAACCCTTCCATTTCCCTTCATAAGAGGTGGTCCCTTGGATCTCCATGAAGGTGCGCGCTCGTACTAGCACCTTTACGCGTCACGTGGCCTGACCAATCGATACAGACCCCTCCGAACCATATAGCTCAAATTTATTTATTGATTATAGACGGAACTCGCATAATAACACTGGAATATCTGTGTATGTGTGATACTGGTAATAAAGAAGAAGAAACTTTTGAAATACAAGACTATGTTACTTTTTCCTTTGTTGTTCTCATAGGAGCGCAGAATTCACTCTGCATCCCCGTCGAGTGGCAAGGGAAATTGTGCAGAAATGAAGAAATAGAAGTTGTAAAGTACTGTACAAAGGAATGCTTCATGTAGTTTAAGTAATGAACATTTCTAATGAGTAAGAAAAGGGGATCCGATCATACGCCATGTTCAAGGAGGAGAGTGCGAAAAGTCGATATTAGGCCACTGTGATTGTTACAACCTTTAATATGATGAGGAAAACACAAGTATATGAAAAAATATGTAGAAAATTGCGATTTATTGATTATCTGATAGAAATGATCGATTCCTGCATCGATTGCACAACGCATGACTTAGAGCTTAGCAAAATACTAGATAATATTATGTAAAGCTATTGGAAAGAAAATAAAAACATTCAAAAAAATAACAATTCAATGAAAATGGAATAAATCATCACAGCAATGATTGTGCTTGTAAAAGTTATGAGTGTAAAGTATCATTTCCATAAAAGGGTGAGTGACGTCATTCGGGCTATTCGAGTCGTTCGAGATTCCGGATCTTTGAAATATCGGGAGATTCTGATCGTATCTAAATCGATTGATTCCACCTAAAAAAACAGAGATGGGATGGCTCATTGTGATGAATAAATTAGGGACCGCAGATCGGCTTAGAGGGAGGATTTGCACTTCTTCTAGTTTCTTTGTCGTTAGGTTCTATTTAAGTTACATAATTCACCATAGTGAGTTCTGTAAACCCTTGTCAAGTGCAAGGGAAACTTTCTGTTACTGAACTACAGGAATTTATAGGCCTCCATAGAAGGCATCGACAGCCGGTCGACGAGAACCAACAAAATGCTCCCCATCAAGCCTAACTGCGGGCAAAATCATACTTCTGACAGGACAACTATTGGACATATTTCTTACAGGACAACGTATTGTGAAAATATTTTCTTAACAGGACCATTATTGTGATTATTTGTTACTACTGTTTTCGTTATCGCTGAAATATCGTCGTTTTTGCACGTCACATCGGACTGAACTCCTCTCGCCGATGCCCGGACGTAAAAGCAAATTACGCGCCAATTACGATGGGCCCGGGTAGTAACTTAGACAAGTGCGCATTCCTCCATGATGTCACTCCTTGTCAGGTGTTTCTATGTGGTGAAGAGGAGAAGACGTGTCGACGTGGATAGCTGATGTACGTCTGTTCGCCCATATAACGCACGATATGGGCTCAATTACGTCCTACTAGAAGCAGGGCACATCATTGTTGGGGGATCCACAACGGGTCGTATTTTGGCTGAGAAAAATATATTTTACAGTTGATGTACGTGCTCATTGTTGGAGGGAGGGGGGTGGGTGGGTATTTTACTTTCCGCCTTTCTAGGAAGTGGTGGAAGGTTGGTAGTTTACTGTCGTGATTTTCTGCTTTTTCATGTAATATATACCCCTCCCCCCCCACCCCACCCCCCCTTCCCTGCTCAACAGCAAAATTTTTGGAAAGTTTGGAAAAAGTGGCAGTGAAGTTGAGGAAAGGAAAGCCTAGAGAATTGGATAGAAGTGGGGAAGTCGTATTGTCTACGCTAGCTTTTTCTGTTTTCACAACGGGCCGATTCGATTGAAATGGTGGACAGAGGCGGGAGGGGCTAGGTCGTACCCCCCCCCGCCCCAAAAAAAAGGGGGGAGGTCGTACGGACTTGAAATCCCCAACCAATGATGTGCCCGTACTAGAAGTCCGGCCTATCGTGGTCAAGCCATTTCCGCAGGGTACTGCCAGTATGCCCCACCAAGTTTCAACCTGTTTGCTTGCACCTAAATTAGGTCACCGTTACTGCTGTTATTCACTGAGCGGTGGCGTTTCAGGTACTGGACGCCTGCCATCTTTCGCGGCCAACGGAGAGTGGGGGGGAGCCATCCTGCTACTTCGCGATTCACTAGGTCTGGTTTATAGTCTTCGGCTCTGACGGAACTGTTGAGCTCTTGGAAGCTGGAGCACCTCTTTCCACCGCGGTTGAATGATATGTGTATAGGTTAGGGTATGCTTTACAGATTTGACAGGTTTCACGCGATGGTCTCGGAGGTCATTGGAGTTAGCAGAGCGCAATATGCCCCCCTTTCCCGTCGCCGAAAGCGCTTTTGGAACGTAGGGAACGACAGATGTAATCACGAACAATAATCTACGTCTCTTTCTCTTCTTGAGTTGGCTCACGATCGTGGCCTTTTCGTGGTCACGTTTAATCGATTTCTGACCGTATTTGGCCAAGATGCTCGTAATTGTCTAATTGAATAGAATAAGAACCACTTTGTAGATCTGCTTCTTCCATGACGGCTCAGCATCTTTCCCAAGGCGAATTGCATCGAAGAATTCCCGTAACGACTCTTGTACGACATTCACCAAATTTTCTGGAGGCTAAAACAAGGCGATTTTCGTTAGACTGTCGTGATATCATGAAGACAGCCTACAGCCCCATAACATACCTGTACGTGATTGTTTCTGTTGTAGTGCTGATTTAGAGTTCGGAATATCTCTGATTCCATGGTGACCACAATGTCATCACGTGATGTGATACCTTCGGCTAGTGCTTGACGAGCAAATTTATCCATTTGAATGTAGTAGAACTCTCTGAAGATTTTAATTTGAGAAATCACGAAAAGGTCCAGAAAGAAATCCTGTCATGGTTTTCAATATGCATAGAATTAATTCGTTATTTTTTTATTTTTTCAGCCTAGAGTGGGCGCTACATAATCTGAGCTGAGTGTCTATGCTTTCCATAGATATTGATTAGACCTGAACTATTTGCATCAATCATACATCGTACGCTAGAAATTTCCCAAGGGGGAGGGCGCGGGGGGGAGAGGGGAGATGGCCGTATTTGTTATAGAAAAATATACTGAATGTTGGCTCTTCCCGACTTTTCCCTAGGTGTGTATTCTCTCTCTCTCCGCCCCCTCTCTTAGGCGTCAGTGCTGCAAAACTACTACATATTTCTGATTGTTGGTCAGACATGTCCACCTGCTTACCCCCCCCCGCTCTACAATAAGTTTTTGGGAACGTTCCGCTTCTGGGAAGGGGCGTATCCGCTTCCAGAAGAGCAACATTTCCGAGGAAAATGTGCGGGGGGGGGTGGGAAAAACTCTGGCGAAATGGTAAGAAGCCTGGAATACTTTGATAGATGGTAGGCACGATGGAGGACACGAAGAAGGGGAGGTCGTAGCAGAGCAGGAAATTGTGAGGGGAGGAGGGGGGGGGTCGTATTTAGCAAAAATTCAATTTAAGGAAAGGACGTGCTCTGGTTTCAATGGCCAACTATCAATAACAATTTGATATTTGAGAAAGGGTCAAGTCTCTTTTCAGCCAAGTCGGGGCATTAAAGTTGGAATGGAGCATTGAAGAGCTTCTAGTGCAAAGATAAGAGCGGAAGGTGAGTACATTTGCCCGAGCCTAACGGGGAGGGAGCTCTGCGATGAGTGAATCAGTTTAAAGCACATACGGTAAACCTATTCAGATGACAAATCCTAAGTTACACAAGGAGCGCTTTAAATCCCTTCCCTCACCCCTCTTCCCTCCCCCCCCCTTCCCCCACACTCAAGGTTATCAGTGTCCTAGTCGGTCCACGCAACTGCTATACTGTGCTATTTCAGTGTTTATAACAGATTTTCTGCTGAAATACTTCGATATAGCTACGACTGGCAGTTCCGTTATAAGACCCCAACCTTGCTATGGTGGTTACGAATCACGTCTCAACATTTCACCTTCCGTTCCACAATTGCGGACTGTCAAACGGCGGCATTGTCAGGCTAAGAGCGTTCAACACCTGTTCGTTGAAATCGGGCTGACCTCAGTTTGAGAGCTATGTCAAGGCAAGGCTGTCCATATAGGTGTATGTAATCGAATCCGGCGGTGCTCTCTATATGTGACGCGGCCTTGAGTACGAATTGTTTGATTAGATGGCCGAATTCGGCATGGGCCACCGGCGAGAACAGGAGGTTTGACCATAATCGCTCCAAACGCAGCGGATCACATTTCATTCAGACGGAAACCTGAGTATTGCTTTAGCCTGTTGAGTGGGTAACGTTTAGCGGATTCCTCTCTCGTTCCCCGCTCTCTTTCGCTCTTCGCCACAACCTATACCGACTTCTGCCGAAACGAGTACTCCGTCGGCCGGTTCTGGGCGCTGTATAGACAATACTCTAAGCCCCGCTAGTTGATCCGCTTATCAGCCTACCGTATGCCACGCGACATCGTTTCGGGCGGACGATTACCGCACGCAAATCTCGAAGGAACTTGTCAACCAGGGTGGAGGGGCAGGCACAGAGTGAGACCACATGACGACCAAATTCTGGCCGTTAGGGCAACTCTAACGGTGCGTCACAGCACCGATTTCGAGTTGAACCAGAAGATTACAATTATAGGTACTAAGGAAAAAAAAATTGGCTGCACAACAGCAGGTAAACTGATGAGGTTTCCCGCTGCGCCCTTTCAGCCTAAAAGGAGCTTTTCTCAAGGGAACAGCTCACGGCGATCTCGGGCAAATTACCAAAAACAGGCAGAACCACCCTTCCCAACTGAAATCTCTGGAACGTTGCAATGTTCCCAGATCCAGAAAAATTTCAGCCCGGATGTGTAGCCATCTCGTCGTCAAATGTTACAGCGACTGGCGGTTCAGATCAGATTCTAATCGCGTCGAATTCGACGAGCGCGTACGTCGTCTTGCAATGGGATTACTGTAGAGCGTGACAAATTCGCTCTAAGACCCTTTTCTCCCTGTTTCGTCGCCCATATTCAATGCGCGTATGGAACTGAACCAGATTCGTCAGTGCCCATTCACAAACGGAAATCAAGTTGATTTCAGATGAAATAACAACTTTACACCTTCAAATAAACGAGAGCCTGTAGGAGAATACTCCTCCTTGGGAAGGAGCTGAGAACCCACGGGGAAATAGTTTCACATCCGGGGCGCGACCTACGGGAACGCCCTGTGGAACACGGGTAAAAGAAGAAAATGACTATGTATCCGCTTTCGAGCCCTCATTCATCCCATCTTTCCCCTGATCGACATAATTCTACCGCGCTGACACACCATGTGACGCACGTCTTCATAAATCTCAGAAAGTCTCGTCGCTTCTTATCGCGCTGTCAATCGCACGGGCGTACGCCATTGACTCAGCGGGATGCCACCTCAATAACGAACGAACACCAATAAGGCGTGAACGACAACATCCGCGCATTACACACTTAAGCATGCTAATTGCCAAGAAAAATCGCTCATGATATCGGTTACGAATCGACGGACCATAAGTCGACACACTCATTCATCAATTAATTCCTCGGAGTCAATGGGACGAGAGCTTAATGATATTCCATTACTTCCATAAGAATCTCAAGTAGAAAATGAGCTCGTAGTGTGATGGCTTGTGATCAAGATCGCTCGCTTGATTCCAAGCCAATTCCTTCAATAAAGTCAGTCATCCCCCACTCGGTAGAATTCAGGAAACTATTTCAACGATCTCTTGGGATCGAAAACCTATTTACTCTTACTCTGTAATATGTAATTTACGAAATTAATGGTCCAAAGGGACACTGAAGTGTGCCACGACTTCTACTC